CTAAGATTCTTGCTTGCTGTCAGAAGGCCTGTGATCTTCTCTGAAAATGGTCTTTTCTCCCCTTGATGTCCCTCTCCTTCCCACTGTCATGGTCCAGTAGCTAGTTAGTAGCATTTGAGCAGATGAGGAGCAGTGAGTCTGAAGGCTGGAGAGCACCAGATAATGGCCCTGTGACATGCCGCATGAGATATGAAATTGACCCACCCCCCATCAACTCCTCACGTGCCCAACAATATTCTAATTAAATTTGCATAATAATCACACAGACTTCCTCTCTGTTCTTTCTCTATATTTAGAATGTATAAAGGTATATTATTTGTACTAATTGGACGTGTTTGATATTAAGAAATTGTATTTTGTGATTGTTTAAATTATTTTCCTTGGAAAGAGACAGACTTAAGTACTGGTCTAATTATAGAACACAGGCCGAAGCTACTCTTTGTCAGTTGTCTGAGGGATTTTGGTTAATGTGAAAGCATTAAGCAGTCTGGTCTGATTTGGCTCAAACCTGTTTAATCTGAATAGCAGCCCACTAACTGACATGCATGATAAAAACAAGCTCATGCTACCTCAACAACAATACACATACATACAGTGACCCCCTGGCTCTCCAAAATTTGTTTCAGTAAGGATTTTATCATCCTCTCCTTTCCTCTTCCACTTTTTTCCCGATTTTGCTGGATTTCAGGAACATTTTTTTTGGTACAGCAGTTTGTCGTTCCAGCAACATATACTGAAGACAAGCCAGCTGTGTTAGCTGATGCTGGCAGCTATGAGATAAACACAAAGGAACCAATGTTAACAGTAGTGGAGGGACAACATCTGTATATTCAGTGTTTCTGTAACTAAACACCATATAAATGGTGTATGCATTGCATATTTGTCAGATCAAATATTAGCAACAGCAAGAAGTGTTACTTCATCCCTGACAAGCAGACTTTGCCTACATCCACAGCCAGAGGAGAGGATTGCTGTATGCACTTTCTACTGGCTGTGAGACTAATTCACTGCAGGGACGATCATTACTCCCACCATAAAGGTGTGTGTGTATGTGTGTGTGTGTGTGTGTGTGTGTGTGTGTGTGTGTGTGTGTGCGCACTCGTGTGTGTCAGTGTTTGTGCTTAAATGTGAATAGAGCAGATGTGATAAGCTTAATGCCAGGAGCAAGGAGCATTTAATGAAGTGTTGCCTTCTTTGAGAGATTCGAGTCCAAGCATTGGCTATGTTCTTTTGTGTGCAAGACAGAGTGGAAACAATCTGATTCCTACATTTTTCATTGTAGAATTAGTCTCTGGTTAACTGTGAGTGTTAGAACAGAATTTATTGATCGCTTTAAAGGCACATCTGACACCAGCTCCTATTTTCGTATTAGACCTCTTAACTTTCAAAGAGCCAGTCGGCCACCTGGGATCCCCAGCTGATGCCTTGCTGGTTTTTCCTACACCAAGGCTAAAAATTGAAGGTAGCGAGGCCTTTGACTTGATCTTCCGATCATGCGTCTTCATTATCTTTGCTTTAATCTCAGGGCAGTCACACCCAACTTAATTCCAGTACTCCCCATGAGCTGGACTGCTTCTGGTAGTCTTCCAATTTGCCATGTGGTAGAGGGAGAATCGCAACAGAAGGTGAACCTTAATTGCTGCTACTGTGCCAGGACTCCTCCTGGCCTATATTTGAGTATTCAGACCAGGCCTGTCTCATTACCACAGTTGTATAAGTATGGCAAGTAATAAGGGTTCATTACTTGAAGAATTTGTCCGCACCAGTTTGTTTGTGACTGTACACACACCTATTTCCCTCATTAACTTTTGCAGCCTGCACTTGTGTAGCCATTTACATACCTCAGCCTGGCCTTAATCCAGACCATCCCTCTCCATCTCTAGAAAAGACCACAAGAGATAATCCCCAAATTCATCCAAACTGCGATGAGAAACTAACATCCTAAATGGTGAAAACCTGAGGAAAATCTGAATTGTCCTGCTGGCTGGAAATCCTGGGAATGTAACACACCCCTCTAGTCAGCGGTAATCAGCATATTGTGGAGCAATGTATAGGTCTGCAGCAGAGTGCGGAATAATCTCAAAGAGCGAGTTGAACACAAGTTCAATAGCACATTGATGCAAGTTCAAAAATCTGTCTTTGAACATAGAGTCTTGAATTATGTTCTTATACGTTGTCACATTGTCAACAAAAAACAGATGTTTTAGAAATCTGTTACGCGTTTTCAGCGTTTGTGAAATGATCTGATAGGGAGGCAATATTGTTTCTCAACACCTCCAAGAAGCCTGTCAATCCACTAGTGATTGCAGGTGAGTTGTGGGTGAAGTTACGCAGGGTAAGGAAGTGAAGCAATCTGGCAAAATGGGAAACAAGTCAACTTAAAGAGACGGTAGCAGCTTTTAATGAACGAAATACACTCACAGCACTGCTCAGAAGCACTTTGGTTTCTCTATACAAGTTAGTAAAAGATTTGTAGTGGCCGTTTTGTTAAACTTTCTGTACTTTGACACATTGACACACACAATTTATATAGCATAGCATAGAAATTCTGAAAAAGAAAATCTTGAGCAAAACTGATATTATGACAAATCAAGTTGGATAATTTATTGTTTAATTAAATGAGTTTGGGATATTGTATTGTATCCTTAACTGTAAGGCAGCCTTTAGGATCAAGAAAACACAAATGAAAGCTCTACCACAATATTATGATTACCAACATCCTAGACAAATTCTGTTTGCCCAGATCCAGATTTAATGTGCATCTTAACAACCCGGTATAATGTTTTATCTTCATGTAAGTCACTTTTTAGTCATTCATGATGTCATTGACAGTGTTTCCTCCTTTTTCCACAGATATCATTGACAAGAGTGAACTAAAGCCGTTCTTCGAGAGCAACTGTTCTCAGATTTATTTTATCTTCTATGAAAATTTCATTACACTGGAAAGCAACTTAAAACAAAAAGGTGAGTCCAAACTTTATTATTCCTTTTTGTGAGCTGCACACTCACTAGTTGACCAATACTCTCGATGGTGGTTCAATAATTAACCCTCTCCCTCCTCTCTGTGGTAAGTGGTTCATTTCCCTCTGCCCCACATTTATAGAGCAATGAGCATAGAAGCAATTTCTGGATATATCCAGTAAAACACTGTGTGCTGAGCCAGACTCCAACAATATTGGGGGTAGGGGATGAATTCCCACTGGGAGTATGCTCTCATTGGAAACACATGTTCCTCTGAATAAGTGTTCACGAAATGACCTGTATTATTTTTACATTATTGATCAGGCTACTGCAGTATAGCTCCGGGTTATGTGTTCAAAACTGTAAGTACTTTCCTTGTGTTTCAGGGAACAAATCTCAAAGGGAGGAGCTGGACTCTATCCTCTTTATTTTTGAAGTAAGTCATCTGTCTTTTACTGTGTTGCTGTCGCCGTCATTTTTCGTCTTCCACTGATAGTTGCTGCAGCCTCAAAATGTTTACTGCAGAACTCTGGGGTGGGACCATAGTTTCCATGGTGCCATACTGCAACTGTGGCTACTTCCTGAATTTGCCTCTAATAGCCTAGAAATCAGTTGGAGGTGATTGCAAATGAAAAGGAACACTTCGCCCTATCATTTTCCAGCCTTTTGAAAGGTTGTGTGAGAGCTTTCAGTTCATTTCTTGTTTTTTAAAACGTAGGTTTGTATGCAAATCACAGGAGGTATGTCTGTGTGCACATTACATTGTTGGCTCTATGGCTCCTCCCTCTGTTTTTCTGAACACTCTTATGTTGCACATGTAGGTTAAAGTCCCTTACCCTGTTTTCCCACCTGACCTCCAAAGGCAGCTCCAGTTTCCAGTACAAACAGTCAGCTCTCCAGTTACATTTGCTCAGGGCCGGGCTGAGAGGATGGCAGTAAATAAAAAAAAATGGGAGTCAAGTTGTATGTCCCTCTTTGAACAACATGCCTTGTTCTAGTTGTTCAGATCACCTGTGAACACAGTCTGGGGGTGTTCTAACACATAGTAAATCATCCCAGCTTAGATTCAGGCTCACTCACAATTCATTTGTTTGTTACAGTAGCATCAGGCCAGATAGTGACATTGTCTGTCTTTAGCCATGGATTCCTAATTTGCTAGTCAGGCATATCTAATACAACTTGGAATCTATTTTAATGTCATCACGTTACATCTGTTTTGGTTCTGTCTGGGTGATGCATTATGTAGAAGTGCATTTTGTTTGTCTGCTTATATTCATTCAGGTTGGGAATCTTTTGTAGAATTTAGACTCAGTGTGTATATATATGTTATTCAGATGTATAATATGTGGCCTTCTTAGCTTGCTGTTTGGAAGATATTTTAATATATATTCAATATGAAAAATTTCAGTAAGATTGGTGCTCCCCATCTGTTTAAAGACTCACTGGACGTCCCTCTAGTTTTCTGCAGTCCTCACCAAGACACCCTCGCTGTTTGTCCGCACACATCCAGTCCACTAACCTGTAAATAAAGCCTGGATTCATGCCTCCATACATATTTATGGAGTCATCTTTTCAAAAAGAACTAACATTGAAAGCAGCTTAACCCTCATTTGTCCCCTTTTAGCCCCTGCCTGTGACAACATGTGCTTTTACCGATGCACTGAGAAGATAAGCTTGCTTTGAGTGGTGTGTACAGGACAGATACAGGGGCGCTTTGATCCTGAGTCCTGCTACGCTGTGCAGACTTTCTCTTTACGCCATATTAGATTAGGCCTGTTGGATCACATGTGGTCGTGAATACGATATCAATGGATACATTTGTGCTCGCAGACATGCACTACTAATATGTATCATGTTATCGCAGATGTTATATTATAACTCAGGGACATGACAAATATGGTAAAAGATGAACTAATACCATCTTTTGAGGCAAGTGCATTGTTCATCCTAATCATTTTCTTTCCTGCAACAAGCACAGTTATGTATAGCTTTAAGCTGAATTTAGTGGTTTTTGTAAATGTGCATCATTTGTTTGAGTCAGTAAAGTCAACCAACCAAAAACATAAGGCCTAACAGCCTTTGTCCAAAAAGCCTCAGAGCGGTGTGTGTAGAGTAGGTTAAAGATGGATAACGGCTGGGACAAAAGCCATTTTGCGGCTCTGTGCTTTGTAGCGCACTGTAATGCTGTATGACAGGTTAAGAAGAGCAACACAGCTCAACATCGCTGCACCTCTTATTCAGTGTAAGAATTTCACTGGAAAGCCTGTTATGTCCTCATCTCCTCAGGCACATGGGAAATACTGTTCCCTGCATTCTTCATCACCTGAGTTACTCCTCGCCTTCAAATCTGGCTGACCTATACAGTACATGTCCTCACTGTGTGTGTGTGTGTGTGTGTGTGTGTGTGTGTGTGTGTGTGTGTTTCGAGCTGGCTATGTGGGGATTACTTTGTTGTCATGATGAGGTATGTGACCCCTTTTTTGTGGGTTAGTGTGTATGATCCCCAATGCTGAGCCTGTTTGAGTAATGGACATCTAGAGGGGGTAATCTTTTGTCCCTCCCCCTGAACTCTGCTGGAGTACCCCACCCCCACCGCCACCAGCAGCCATTACCATTCCCTTCCAGGATCTCTTTGTGTCTGCTGCCACGAAGGCATCCACGATGGCAGCTTGTGATACTGCGCCAGAGCTGACAGAGATGAGAGACCTGATCTCTGTGAGAATGCAACAACATTGCGGAAGACGCTGGATAGAAAACTCCCTTATAATAAAAATTTTAATCACTTTTTAAAAAATATTGCTGTACTGTAGGCTTAGTTGTTTTAAAGACATAAAACAAGAGTTGACCAACAAATTCATATGCCTTTTGTAACCTCCATTCAGTATTGACCTATCAGTATCCTCGCAGAAAAAGGTCCTTGTTCTTTTCTTAAATGTGTAGTTTGATCTCATGTGAAAATACGGCATTGCCACAGTCAGGGCTCCAGATTGCGGCCAAATGGTCGCATATTGGCCTTTGGGAGCCTTTTGTTAATTGACCAGCCGGCAGTGATAATATAGAAAGCTTCTTTTTAAATATATCATGCAGGAGGATCTATGCATCCACTGTTTCCATTTCTCTCTCTGTTTCTCTGCCAAAGCTCCAGAGCCGTGCGACCTCTGACATATATAGCAATTGTTAGTCACTTTGGATAAAAGTGTCAGCTAAATGAGTAAATGTAATGTAAATGCAAATATACTTTGGCGACCGTTAATAAGTTGGTGTTAAGAACATCCACGCAGCTGGCCACATGTTTTAGCGTGTGTGTGTGTGTGTGTGTGTGTGTGTGTGTGTGTGTGTGTGTGTGTGTGTGTGTGTGTGTGTGTGTGTGTGTGTGTGTGTGTGTGTGTGTGTGTGTGTGTGTGTGTGTGTCTCTCAAGCCCTTCCATATATGGAGCAACGCTCCGCCTGCGTACTCGTTTGGACTCGCCTTGTACATTTGTGCTGTGATTGGTGTAGGCTATTTCTCAGTAGTTTTTGAGGGTGCACCCATAGCCATAGCCACCTTGAAAACTGTTCAGATAGGCTACTTTAATGGTCAGTCCCAAATGTTTGTATTTTGTAATGTGGAAAACTTTCTTTCCAGATGAACATAATGACCAAATCTATACCTAGTTTGGAACCTGTTTACTCAACAGATGGTTTGCGTGAACAAGGTGGACCTGGGATGGAGTCAAATTCATGGCCTGATAATTGTGCCAGTCCGCCCCTGGTTGAGGGAGTTTACATGGCTTAGATTTAACAAAAACACCAACACAATGAGCTCTATCTGCTGCGCTAGATGTGGTCAACAACATGCAGGGAAAACCAAGTTGGCTGATGCAACTGTCACTGCACAGTTTAAACAAAACACCTTAATGAAGCACAACAGCAACTTAAAACATAAAGACAGGGGGAATAATAAATATATATCTTATATTATTTTATGTGCATTTATTAAGCTCCATTCAATAGAAATGTGACTGGTAACTAAAATTAAACGGCACATTGTAGTTTCTGTATTTATTACTCAAGCATTTATCAGTAATAGCAGTAATTTGCAGGTCGATTTTAAGGTGTGCGCCCCTAAATTTTCTGCCTGTGCCCTTAAATTTTCAGTTAGGGGCTATAATGCTCCTGATTAAAAAATGTTAGTCTGGAGCCCTGGCCACAGTATTCACCCCCCTTTACTGTGACACACCTAAATCATAAACGGCGCTGCTAATTGTTCTTTAGTTCAGTGAAGTCCTGTGTGTAATCAAGCTGTGACATGTAATTGTAAGTTAAAAACGCCTGTATACAGACATGCTTGTTTGCCAAATCCCTGGCAATGGGTACCTCATGAAGACAAAGGAACATTCAAACTAACTCTATAACAATGGCAGTAAACAGAATATGAAAAACTTTTAAAGGTGCGGTACAGCTGGTAATCTGCTTTGAACCTCCTCCTTGTCACATACACATGTTGCGAAATTCATTCTCTGCATTTAACCCATCCCTCAAGGGAGCAGTGGGCACGGGGACCAACTCCAGATCTATGTAAGTGTCTGTCAATGACACTGACTGAAGAAACATGTTTTTGATGGTGGGGGAAACACGGGGGAGAACATGCAAACTCCACACAGAAAGGCCGGGGCAACTGGAGTTTGAACCTGTGACCTTCTTGCTGCCACCGTGCTATCTTCTGGACCACCGTGCTATCTTCTGGACCACCGTGCTATCTTCTGGACCACCGTGCTATCTTCTGGACCACCGTGCTATCTTCTGGACCACCGTGCTATCTTCTGGACCACCGTGCCGCCTGGCTGCGTTGCGGCCGTGTCGCAGCTGCCGGAGCTGATCGCTGCCATTGTATAAAATGCTTGTGATTCTAGCTGATGCACCACAACGTGTCCCAGAAGCGGATAATACATGCCATGTCTATTTTTGACGGAAGGTGGGTCGAGCATAGAGTGGATGAACTGGGCAGGAATTCAGACACAGAAACTGCATAGAGAATCAGTGGAATCAGTTTTCAAAATAATCCTGTGGAATCTCCCGGGTTAAAAACCAAGTGCTAGTGTGAGATGGGCAAGAGGCCACGAGAGACCTATGGCAATACTGAGCTACAAGGAACTGTCACTGAGGTGGATGGAAGAAGATTGCCTGCTACCTGACCAGTCACAAACTTAACACAACTAAATGGTGGCAAAGAGAAAGCCACCGTTAAGGAAAAAACATGACATCTTGGGAGACTCAACGTGGTGAAAGGTTCTATGTAGAGCAATATGGTAAAAAAATGTCATATCAGCCTATCGATAATTATTCCTTTCAAGCTTAAAGGCTGAGTTTTGCTAGTGAGTGAAAGTTGAAAAAACCAGAAGGTTAATTATGGTTAGAACACTTTCCAAACAGTGCATCACTTAACAAATCTGAGGTAGAACATTCAAAACACTTATAATAAAATATTTTTTCAGTAAAATGAAGAAAATATTTTTTCAATCCTTTTTCCTCATGGAAAAAAAAAGTCTTAATTGAAAAATTAAGTGCAGATTTGTTTGTCAAATTAATTAAATTGAACATTTATTGAACATTTGTTACATTTATATTGAGGAAAATTCATTATTATAATAAAAATTTCAATAATTATCGTTATCATTTTATTGCCCAGTCCTAGCTCTATGGTGTGATGAGACCACTTTCTGTCACAGAAAACTGTTTATGCTGTCGTAAGGCCAGATTGAGCTCTCTCAGGCCTTGAGGGAGTCCAGTTTGTTGCTGCTTCTGAATAACTGGAAGTGACCTCTTGCTGTCTGAAAGCTGTTCGATCCTGGTGCCACTAAGGTTGTGGGACAGGTTAAAAGACAGCTCTGGGACCAACAAAACTCGGAGGGAAGTCCGTCTATATCCACTTTCTGTCCAGGATATGACCTGTCGTCTGCCATCCGGACCTGACTCAGCATAGTGAATTCCCCTTATCATCCTCTGTTAAAGCCCCTCATCTAGATTTTAAACTTGACTTGCCGAGTTGCCTTAAATGGGTAATTCTGCTTATTATATTTAGTTAACCTCTTGTTTTTATTCAGCACAGAGGTAAAGCTGTTGTCTTTTTGAAAACTGCAGACTGTCAGAGGCTTTCGACTGATTTACCTACGATCAAGATGATCTCAGGAAATTGAAATCCAAGCCCAAAATAACTTCAGAAAATCACAATAGAATACCAGTCAATACCAGAAACCAAACCAGATCCAGCATACACAGCAAGCTGAGGAATACAGAAAATGGGAACATAAGAAAGCCTAAAAGCAAGATATTGCTATTTCTAAAAAAAAGTATACATCCCAAACAATTGCATTCACCCAGTTAAGTCAGAAAATGTAACATCCACAAATGAGACCTGGTAAGGAGCTCATAGCTCATTGCAAACAACTGATTGTAACTCATGTTCATTTAAGTACTGTGTAGGTAATTATGAATAATTAGTTAGCAGGTAATTAATAACGCAGTGTTTCTCTGTGTCATAAACACTCATCAACAATCTTTTTCTGTCTGGTGTAATGGCATCATATTCCTCATGATGCACTTAGGTTGAATCACTGAAACTCTCTTCTACATGTTGGCGAACGTGTTGCTAAAAAATTAACCCAGCCATTTATCTAGGTTAATTTTCCCCTTTCCCTCTTTTCTTTTTTATGCAGTCATTATGACTGAGACAGTTCACCTGCAGCGGGGTTATTGGTTAATGTATATAAGCAAATGTACTTAAATGTAGTTTGGGTCTGCACATGGAACAGGCTGAGTAAATTAATATTGACGGTTGAGGCTATGTTTTAACATATTTGTATGGATAACTATTTTTGTCCCACACAAGAGCACTAATTTATGAATATTTTGTGGATGCATATTTTTATAAAATTATGGCTTTGTTGGTATGCAATTTAGCTTTCTTTCTTTGTCCAGAAGTGCCTTTCAAAATGGTTGTAGAGGAAGCCTCCTGCAGTTTGGCTTTCACATAGAGCAAAGAGGAAAAACCTGATAAAAAGCCTGAGGAGGAGTTTTATCACACTCTGCTGCTGCCACCCACTGGCCTCAGAGGAGAATGAATCATTTTGTTCATAGTTAAGTGTATTTTGGTAAATTATTCTTAAATGAAACTCGGATAGGTGCCTTGGGTTTTAAACTTCATTAACATGTAGGGTCATAAGAGATATGCATTGTCATCTTAAATTTGCCAAGACCTTTACCAACAAATAATGAGGGCAAGGGAATAAATTTGGTTAGCATGTAAATAAGCATCCTTGTTTGGACTTACCTTACAAACCATTTTAAAGCAGGTACGTAATTGATATCTTTTCTCACACTGTACATCAGGCCAACAAGTGATTTTAGTGTTAGGGTCTAATTTCCTTTGTAGGCTAAAATATGTAATGCAAAGATAATGCTCACATAATGCCATATTAACTGTGTTTTGCCATGTAAGTCTTGTTATGTGATTGACACACTCGTCGTTGTCTGACTACCGCATATCTTGTGTTGGTAGGTTTGCTGTATGTTGATAGGGTAGTGTTTTTTGTCTCCAGTGTCTTTGTGTCTTTCAGAGATTTCAATGCCCTTAAATAGTATAATCATCTCCGAGTTGCATCAAATGAACGAATAAACAATATGTAAATGACTGAGAGTACTGCTGCTGCCGTCAAAAAGCCCTTGTAGACCACCTCTTGGAGAAGTGTATTCTGTGTCATGTTCAGGCCTTGCGACTGGAAACCTAAGTGCGGATCATGTAAATGTGTTATGGCTGTAGTTGTACCACAGTAATGCCCCCATCTTTATGCTGGAGTATGGCTGCAGATTAGAGTAACTCCCCCAACCCTCACTCCAGCAGACTCTGCATTCGCCTCATATCAGCCAGTAAATTCCTCATTGTTGCAGCCTCCATTCCAGCTCTGCAGGGAGTCTTTCTGAGCTAGCTTCTCCATCTCATTCCCACTCTCCCATCCTGGTGCTCTGTAAGGAGACAGAATGACAGCGTTTTTGTATCTGCTCGCACACACACACACACACACACACACACACACACACACACACACACACACACACATACAGGGAAAGGCTTAAGCAGGCTACCCTGCTGTGTTACCGCCTAGCATAATGTGTCTGCTGCCCCAAGGAGACTGAGTGAAGGAGGCCAGTACAGAGCCTGTACAGAGATGTAATAATCCCATGCGGGATCAATAGCAAGGTGCAGCCACATGCCTGTACGCGCATACCATCACGTCTGTGGATCAGAGAGAAACTGAACAGCACAGATAGTCATCCACCATCCCCTTTAAGTGATGTCTTTCAATATCTCTGCTGTCACTGACAATGACAGGGATTTAGTCTCAGAGGACAAGAAGTGAACGTTAAACATGGAGGATGACAAGGAGAAAAGGGAAGTTGTTGACAAACTGAGACACTCAAAACATGAGATGACTTCTGGACCACCACAGCTCTCAGCATAGTGGTGTAGCACAAGGCAACGTTTTTGTTTTTTTTTATCATATGTAAGAGCAATTCTGTTGTGGTAATACGAAGACTTTAGAAGAATATGATAATTATAGTTGTCTGAAACAAGCAAACAAAAACACTTTATCATGACTGGTTATGTCATTTGAAGATTACACATTTCTTTTTATAAGCCACCTAACATTTATATTCACTCAAAGTTATCAACTTCACTTTCTGATTAAGCTGTTTTATCTACATAAGCCTTATTATTATATCAACAAAGAAAAAATCCTTGAGATTACAAAATATTTCAACTGGCTGTTTAATTTTTCCCATGCCATAAAATGATACTCTATAGTCTCTGAAGCTTTTTCATGCACATTTTTTCTATCCTTGTCTTGCCTATGTGTCTTGACCTCTCCATTGCAATCATGAAGTCTTATTGGGTCAGTGATTAGGATTTGATGAGAAGTGAGCCATTGGGGCATCAGTTGCTCACAGTGCACGGACTATTAACTAGCCCTGCATGCACATGTGCACACATCTGCAGTCCCCCAGCCTTCTTTTTTCATCTCTCCAGAGGGACCCAGTTAACCTGTCGCTGCATTAAAGAATAATGATAGGCTGCTGAAAGGTTAGGGCGCTCTAATTGAGTTGTAAAGCGGTTGTTGGGGAGGTGATGACATTTTTCAGTGCTGTCCTGTGTTACAGGGATCTGCAGACATGCTAGGCCGAGTGCAGGGAAAGTGCAAGGACACTGCATTCCTTAAGCCTCTACTGCTTTGGCAAAACAGTGCCACTTACCAAAACAAAGTCGGTTGTTGTTTCCTCCCACTTTTATTTTACACCCAAGTTAAGAAGATAGGGCTGTAACTAACAATTGTTTCCATTCTTGCTCAATCAATTCATTGTTTGGCTTATAAAATGTCAGCAAATAGTAAAAAAAAAAAAATTAAAAAATCCATCACCAGTCCCTAGATCCAAAGTGAAGTCTAAGTCCTCGGACGTCTGGCTTTGTCCAGCCAACAAAACCAAAAATATTGAATTCACATAAGATTAAGAAAACCAGAAAACATTCACATTTTTGCATGACATTAATACACTTTCTGTTGATCAGCTTAAAGGAAAACATATTCTCCACAGTAGAGCCTGGAGCTGGTCAGTACTTAGTTTCTTGCTTAAAGAGCAAAGTGAATTGTGACAGAAAAAAGGCCCTACTGTGTAACCAAATGCAACCATTGTTCTATTGTTATTGCTGAAATGTGCCAAACTCTGAACTAATCATTTACTAAACTTAACGTTTTGTTTTTTATTTTTTCATTAGAAAATTCTACAACTTCTGCCTGAGAAAATCTACAACCGATGGCAGTTTCACAGCATAGGTATGTATGTGATACATATGAAATACTCTGCACTACCATGAATGCTAAGATTTCTTTCTGATGCATCTGACAGTTACTATACGGTAAGTTTTATATATTGTACATGGCTTTCCTCCTTAAGCTCCTGTAACCTCTAAGATACACTTTAGGACAAAAAATGTCACCACAACTATGCCTAAGCCTTCCATAATGAAGAGAAAATAATTAGTCTTAGAAGGGGATGGAAATATAAATGCAAATGAGCACTTCATTTGAAATGCAAATAAGTAATTGAATTATGCTGGCATGATTTCAGTCCCACACAAGAAAGGAAAACCCTTGCAAGAAACGATAACCCCTATTATAACTGTTGTTTGTCAGCCGTTGGCAGCTAAACAGTCTACGGTCCAGATCGCCATTGTAGATTGGCCTTCCCCTCAGGCTTGTAATTCCAAATATCATCTGGGGTTGAATGGCCCAGACAAATGCACCATTTTGTCAGTCACTGGACAACAAATCATAACCGGTTTAAGGCTGCCTCTTGGCCTTTTTTCTGAACTCGTATAGAATTCTCTTTGGCCCTCATCAGTTCGTGTGTCACCGGTCAAGATGCTGTGCTGTCACTATGTACTTTGCTTTGAAGAACGTGTGGTCGTGGCTGGATAGCTTCTCGCCATACCTGAGTTGTAATTGAATTGCCAAGATTTTTTTCTTTCACATAATTTTTACACACACATTCTGGATTCTACATCCAGTAGCATTGCTGAAATTGTTTCAGTGCCCCGGGACAAATTCCTTGTGTTGGTTAAGGTAGGTCAGGAATGACATGAATGACTTGTAGTGGTTTTGTACTTTTAAGCTGTGGATTGCAAGGTCACAGACATTTGACACAGACCATTATAAGCTGAAGAAAACCTTTTATTATCCTCAATCTGCTTGCTTCTAAATCTTTCTGCCCTGAGCCCAAGGCCTATGAAAGGATTTCTTTACACGTTTTTGTGTCTAACATAGAAATATTATTCATTTAACCTTATTATAAAAGCACCAGACAAACGCATTTATAAACTCACACACTCACATGCAAACATGTCAGTTTTCAGCTTTGCTAAACTTCTTCAGTTCTCTGTGGCTGCCACTTAAATATGTCTGGTAGCAAATCGCTCTTGCCTCTGGAGTAGCTTACTTTTGCCCCAACATAACCCTAATCCTAAACTTAAAATCCATAAAAGAACTAGCCAGAATTTCTTCACAGCCCACAGGGACCTCACAAGAACAGTACAGGCTGTAGAGTATGTTCTAATTCACACAGACCTCTTCCGTGCAAGGTATTTAGCAATCAGAGCAAAGTCTCATTTGATTACAGCGAAACCAGATTGCCTTCGTGAATGCATGTCGCTGCCAACTGATGTTAATTTTCATCAGGAAAATGTGAAGCCTTGCCACTCTCCCCCATAGTTTGTCAGAACCACCCATCAAGGTCAATTTGCCTCAGTGGTGATGACAAGCGGCTCCCCTCCCTATCAGCTTTGTGCTGTTTGTTGTGTCTGCTTGTTGTGTAGGAGACTTCTGTTGAATGTTGGGATTGCAAGTGTTTGACAATTTTTTCTTTCTTCCAGGTTCTATTCTGAAAAAGCTTCTACACACTGGAAATTCATTCAAGGTGAGTGGTGTTTTCAATGCCACACGGTATAAAAAATCACCACCTTCAAGCTGCAGGATGCACCGTAACACTAATGTGAATGTTAACGGTCAAAATCTGGCTACAAAATGGGTCACATTTAGCTTTAAAGAAGGATTCCACATATTTCTGTGTCAACAAGATTGTTAAAGTTAGTCTCTTTTGTGTATCCATTAATATGTCCCAATCTCCTCCTGTCTAGATCCGCTGTGAAGGGATCCGTCTCTTCCTGCTGTGGCTGCAGGCCCTGAGGGACAACTGTGCTGAGGAGCAGTTCCTTATCTTTGCTTGTCTGGTGCCAGGATTCCCTGCTGTGCCCTCTTCAAGAGGGCCCTGCACCCTTGACACCATTATTTACAACCCCTTTTCCAACCCCCCTGATGGTGAATATGAATGCTTCTACAAGTGTGAAAACATAGATTTTGACGTTCATTGAGCCTGTGTTGTGACTAGGGTCCTGGAACAAGCTACACTGATATTGGTATACACTGATATGCACTGATATATACACTCAATTTTTCCTTCACGTAACTCAGGTCTTTGTATCTGTCAATCTGAGCAGCCAAGGTGGTGCCTGAGGAGATTACCCCGCTGGTTCCAGCTGTGGTAGGAGAAAAGGTTGCAGATGACCAGACCTGTTACATCCTTGAAACCCTGCTCAAGTACATGGTCGTCCAGGTAATAACTAATAATACTAGGAAAGGACTACTACTACTATCATTATTATTAACCTTTATTTGTATAGCACTTTTCCAAAAATTAAACTTTACATGCAGAAAATGAAAAAGGAGTAGCAATAGGTAGTAAAGGTAATATATGCGGTACACAGATACAACTAAAAACACACCAGTAGAGAGATACTATCAAGAACATAACAAAAGTTTACATACAAGTGTGTACCGAAAAATAGGAATAAAGGGTAATACAAGATAAACACAGGAAATACAAAGACCTTTCAATGATTTCAGACTTGGCCATACATAGGGAGTCGCATAAAAGCCTGTTACTAAAAGTGTGTGTTTTAGAAGGGATTTAAAAGATGAAACAGATTCTGCTAGCCTAATTTCCTCAGGCCGGCTGTTCCAAAGTTCAGGCGCCCTTATAGATTTGAGGCTGGACATGTGGAACAACCAAAAAGGGCCTTGTTGTTATATTGTAGTGTGGGGTTGCATGTAAGATGGAGGACGGGATTCTAACTGATCAGTGGTTAAGTTGCCATGTGTAGTTGCTGATGGGGCAGACATGACCCTGATTTATCTTTTTTGCCAATTTTTGTTGGAATTACTTTTGAGGACTTTATTGGCTGTAATTTGACTGAAATGACTCAATTCATCTTTTTTAACAGTTTCAATTTTATAGTACCCTTGTGGGAGGCATCTCCTTTAAGGTTCCTGTGCATAACAGTGTTAAAAAAACAAGAATAATCTGAACAAACACTGGTAATCATGGCAAAAATACATCAGCTGTGTGTTCATGGGCATGGTGTTTATGTGAGTGCTCAGGTAGTTTGTTATCCCTGACTTGTACAGCGGTAAGATGAAAATACATTGTCAGCTGTTGTGTAAAGTTGGTGTTGTTAAGTTAGTAAAGTTGGAGCTAGGTACACATGATCTTATGTGTACCTAGCCCAACCCATTTCCCTCTGTATACGTTTTGTTAGAGGAACCTTCAAACTATTGTGTTGCAGACAATGTACTGTCACTGTCTGAATGATGCTGGAACCGTCTCCTCTCCCTGTAGCCTGACCTTGTCTGCCTTTGTGCTCTTTCTGTCAGGCTTCCAGTTTAGAATGGAAGAACAAAGAGAACCAGGGCACAGGCTTCAGGTTTCTCTTCAGCCTGTTCAAGAAGTACTACCTTCCACATTTATTTCCCTCCTTCACCAAGCTTACAAATCTCTACAAACCTTTATTAGGTAAGCTGACATACAGTATATCTATATATATTTGTCTTTGTGCTGAAGCCTTTTCAGATTGAGCATTATGTTGCTGCAAAGGTACACACACTGTACTTAACTCAATAGTTGCGTTTTGGGTAGTAAAACCTCAGTTTTGTCTGCTTAAGTTCTGGGTCTGCAGGCACTCATTCTTGCCGTCTTGTCCCGTTATTTGGGGGGGGGCATTATTATTATTATTATTATTATTATTATATTCCAACTTGGGTTAATTAATGTAGTTGAAGTTGCAGGCATGATCACTCAATCATGACTGGACCAAAATAGTCATGTGACACACGCAGTTTGAAGACAATAAAATTGGTCGAGGGAGTAATATTTACAAAGTATAGGTACAGATGTCACTCATTAACGCTAGTTTTGGTTTCGACCCACAAGCGGCGCACTTGAAAACTGAATCACGGATAAGTTTATTAAACACGGTGATTTTATTTCAAGCGTACTGCTGATGGAGAAAGTCAGCAGAGACACATACAGAGAGAGACAGAAAGAGGCAGAGCAAGCCAGCGTGTTTGCCTTCAGAGACCAGAGGTGCAGGCTAGGTGTGTGTGAGTGTGGGGAGAAGAGAAGAGGAGCAGATACAAGTAGTAAATAAACACTAAACTAAGGTGGAAAATACCTAGATAACCTACTTTCCGCAGTTACACTGTCTTAATGAGACAGTCCGGGAAGCGTATCGCAGACCCAAGAGGGATACAAGGTATCGGTTTCAGAACTGTTACAGCCCTAGTTTATACCGTTTTGTTGTTAGATCATTACATGCAGAATCACTACTTAAACAATATTTTAGGAACCGTATTTAACAATATTCACTCTAAATTGACTAATACAGCATGGGCTGTGTGCAAAATCAGTGAGTGAGTTGTCTTTATAAAGAAACGCTTTATATTTAACAGGTAGTAGCTTTAGCAGTAAGTTACTTTTTAAAAATTTTATATCCCCGAATTACACTTGGGGTTACTTTGCTATTAATTCATGGTATGCCTCTTGGCTCCGTGAATTGTGTGGAGTGGAAGCTTTTCAGTTAGTGAAACTGCTTATCATTAAAATGTGGGTTTTCAACTATGCAGTAACTATATAAGTTAAACTACACAAACAAATATTTATTGTTTACACTAGGAAATGGTGTATGATGTGTGCTGGTGTAATATGAGACCCTAAACAACTGATTATAAAACAGAAAGTATTACAAGTAAGCAGTATAATAATTGTATAAATACTGCTTTTTAGGTTGCCGAGTTTAATGGTTGAGTGAACACATTTTGATTCAGCTGGAAAACTCTGAACGTAGCTCACAGCAAGATATCTGGAGCGCTCTCTCTCGCTCTCTCTCTCTCTCGCACTTTTCACCTTTTGTCATTTTTTAACCCTCCCTCTGTCGCCATCCTTTACTCTTCTGTATTGCTCAATTAGACCTGCCCCACCACCGGCCAAAACCCTTGTATGTGCCAGTGACGCGGAACAATGAGAGCACCTTCTGCACCAGGGACCAGTACCTGGCACCCCGTGTGGCCTTTATCACCTGGCTGGTCACCTTCTTCCTGGAGAAGAAGTACGTCAGCAGTGCTGCTGCGGCGCAGAGCGTCAAGAATGGCACCGAGGTCCTTCCCAAACTCATCCAGGTGAGCATGACAGTACCATTCTGTTGATTTCTCATACTTCGATGGAGGATTAATGGTGTTTCCGGAGTTGTAAGCTTGTAGAAATATTATATTCTTTAGCAAACACTTTTTTTGCAGTAAAATTAATTCAAGATCTACTGTTAATTCAGTATGTGTATATATGTTATGACAGTAGCAAACATCTAGAATACTTTATCACAAAAATAGATTTTTATTCTTAAATATTTTTCAAGCACAAACACAAGTCAGCCTCCAAAGTCAAATAACACACAATTACACAAGTGGGTAAGGGTGAGTGATATGGCCAAAATCTTCTGTCACGGTGTATGTGATTGTATAACGCAATAATGGTACATATCACAATACAGTAATTGGTCTGTAAATTCAATTAAATGGTTTAAATTACCATATCGTACTTTATCACATTTGATGATTATCTGGAACTTCCATACAGTATTCACAATTTCACTCTCCGCCATGTTTTCTTGTCATTCTCTTCTTCTGTGGCAGCCAGCTTAGAAGCGTATTACTGCCACCTACTGTCACTCTCACTTTACATGAGAATGTGGTGAACATTCTTGCTGCCCAAATCACGTTATCTGGCGTGGCAGCTGGATTCGCAAGATCACACGAGAATCCATTCCTGATTTCCTACATAGCCTTCCCCAAATGTATATAGCAGAGACAGTGAGGGATGGAAAGCGCCTGCAGTTGAAACAGTATTGCTAAATCTCTAACAGTAGACACATTTCTACCTTCGCACAAATACGTATGTATACTAGTCAATGAGACTTGAGAAACCAATTACTTAACTGTGCAGAGGCAACCCTGTAGCATACTAAAGGTTTCTCATTGTGTCTCTGTGGCGCCCAGACTGTCACTGCAGGCAGTAGCAGCCAGGAGAAGGATAAGACATCAGATGGGGATACAAACGGGCCAACGGGGGAGCCTGAGAAGAGCCACTCCAACAGCAGCACGCTGTCAGATCGGCGGCCCAGCGATTCCAGTTTGTGTAGCATTGAGGAGGAGCACCGCTATGTCTATGACATGGTCCAGGGCATCCTGCTTTCCACCAGGGACAATGTGAATTTTGTCAATGAGGTCTTCCACCAGGTACAGTGGAGTCACCAAGCAGTATCTTATTATATGAGGTTATAAATATTAATTACATTGCAGTTATTGTATAGTTTTCATTTTGGATCATGATTAGAATGCAGACTGAATGGTGAGAATGTGATAACATGTACTATGTTGCCCTCTGCTGGCTGTTTGTTAACATAACTTAAAGATCCCTCCTGCTACTAGGCTACCTTTTTAAAACCATTCATAATAGTGTAATAGTTTAAATAAAAAGTCCACTATTTTCCCTCCTAAGGCTTTCCTGCTGCCGTCCTGCGAGGCATCAGCAACCAGGAAGGTGATCAAAGTGTACAGGAAGTGGATCCTGCAGGAGAAGCCAGGCTTCATGACAGAGCCTGACACTACCCAGGCAGATGACATGGATGACAGCTCTGAACAGAAACTCACCACAGAGACTAACAGCATGCACGCACAGGTGAAACCCTTGATACAAACAGCCAATTAAAATATATTTTCCTAGCATACACATAAGTATTCTAATCTTGTGATTGATTATATACTAAAAGGTCAAAATGATTGGTAGTACAGCTTATATATTTCTTTAAATAATACATATTATGTGCACACCTATGGACAAGCCTAGTTTTGATGTTACAAGCATATTAATATCATATAAAAGGAAGTCTCTTGTAAATCATGTGACTGGTTAACTGATCAGCACACATCAGCAATTTTACTTTTTTAGCAGTTAGAAATACATTTTAAATGTATTTGTTAAATGTGTGTGATTTTAACTTCAGTTTGACAGAAATTATAGAATTACATTACATACTCACGTCTCAAAACAGCATAGATAAACAAGTTAAGACCACGGGATGTATTTCTTAACAAACATGCAAGGTATTTTAAGTGTATATCATCTGTCTTAATATCTCAGCTTATGTCTACTAACCAGTAAACTGGCTTGCTTTGTCTTCTACCAGATGATAGAGAGTCACGGCCACAAACGGTCGTCCAGCTGGGGGAGGACTTACTCATTCAGCAGCGCCATCAGTCGGGGCTTTCTCACTGAGGACCAGAACAGGAATATCAAGGCTGGTATCCAGCCCACACTACAGGTCTGTCTCTATGTTCTGCGGTGTGTTTGTATCCTGAGAGCTCAATACTTATGTATGCAGTTTGTCTATTTTTACTATTGTCTTACTTACTTTGTTTAAGTCTTTTGCTGTTTGCTCAACCTCACTGTGTCTTTGTGCACTTGTGTGTGTAGGTGTTCCTGACCAACTCATCCAATGTCTTTCTGTTGGAGCCATGCCAGGATGTACCTAAACTTCTGGATAACCAGGTTGAGGTGTGCAAGGGTGTTCTAAGCATCTACCGGCACATGATCATGGAGCACACAATGAATACACAGACGTGGTCAGTGAAATATTCAAACACACATGGAAGTTGTTGTTTTTGTTTCATTGTTTGTTTTTTCAGTTTTTGTGAGTTATCCCTTCATGACTCTCAAATGTCATCTTTTTATGATTCTTTATCACTTCATCACTTTACCTTTTTCCTGTTGTTGTGATTTACCGCAGGGAGCAGATGCTGCAGGTCCTGCTGAGGATAACTGAGGCAGTGATGAAGAGGCCACAGGAAAACCAAAGAAAAGACAGCTTTGCTGAAAGTTTAGCAGCTATACTCTTTAGGGTGTGTATTTGGATGCTTAGATTTTACATTGATACTGATATACGGTATTGTATTCATATGAGAAAAAGGAGGAGGGAGAGAGTGTGGATATGTCATCATGGCTCAGTATACTTTTACAGTAGTACACTGTAATTACTTTATGAGTAACCACCACAGTTTATTTCTCAGGAGCCTGTATGTACTGGGTATGGGTGTCTTGGGTGGATTGGTTGTAAACAAAAAGTCAAAGAGACACTATACCAAATTAGATGTATCAGTGTGAGAATTCTGATGTCACCTCTGATCATGGGCTGGAAGTCATAGCTGCAATCCTGTCTGTCAATTCTAATCCGTCTTTCCTTGTCTCATCTGGCGTTCAGACCATCATTGTGGCGTGGGTGCGAGCCAACCTGTGTGTTTATCTCCCGGGAGCTATGGGACGAGCTGCTGGCAGTGCTGTCCTCTCTTACCTGCTGGGAGGAGCTGGTGACAGAGTGGGCCAGCATCATGGATTCGCTGACAGCTGTGCTGGCACGCTCTGTTTATGGCCTGGACATGGCCAACCTGCCTCTGGATAAACTCAGCGAACAGAAGGAGAAGAAGCAGAGAGGACGTGGTGAGGGGGAGAAATGGGGGAAAATATGGGAATTGGGTTAGCTAAAATTTGGAAAGAAAAGATAAAAAAATGTTTGAAACTGACTTTTGGAAATCTTATTCTGATTACTTTACAGTGGAGCCTTATTTTTCCTACATTTTACTTTAGGATGGTTAGTTGTCTTTCACATGAATAAGTAATTTCTGTTGATCAGTTACTCCCTTATTGCAGTTATTCAGTTATTACAAAGCTTCCACCAAAAGAACCTGAGTTGGTCAAATAACATTTGTGAAGCCTTTAAATGTCTGAGCTCACACTAATTGCACTGAACCTCACTTGCATAGATTTGTGAACATAATCTGTACATCATGATCCCTTGCTCAGATGTGTGTAGCAGTTTAAAACTGTTTATTATTTAATACTGTTTATTTATCAACAAGTATATTTTCACAAAGCTGAACATTCTCTTTTTCCAGCTTTTCAAATGAGAAGACGTGGATTTTTTTCTGTTTCTCTGTGACGTATTAACTCCCCAACTTCCATCCATCAGCCTGTGTCTTTTTTGATAGTACCACTGGTCGCCAAAGTCAGAAATGTTCAGATACTACACATTGGAGCCTGTTCACTTACTTGACAATGAGCTAGTTCAGATAACACCCACAGTACATGCAAGTTTAAGGATATGGGCAATCAGGCAATTATTGACAGCCAAGCCATTAGTCTGTATATTGTTATAGTCAAATGACAAGTTTTTTAAGGTCTAAAATACCATAAATATTCTACAAGCCAGTGTTGTTCTCTGTATATCAGGAGTTTTCCAGGACTCCCAGAAGGCAGCAGCAGTGGCACGTTCCTTCTCACTGAGTTGGAGGAACCAGGGGGAGCAGATTGGAGTTCAGGAGCCCATGAGGATTCGCTCCGCTACTACGTCGGGAGCTCCAGGTGTAGAGACAGCCCGTAATAATGTCCGACAGAAGGCCTCTGGTATGAACTTTTATAATCCTTGTATAATACTGACTTTTATACAAGGGGGGTGATGGCGCAATGGATAAGATGCCTGCCTTTGGTGTGGGAGACCCGGGTTCACCTGAGCAAGACACTTAACCCAGACCTCTGACATGTATAGCAATTGTAAGTTGCTTTGGATGAAAGTGTCAGCTAAATGAATAAATGTAAATGTTTGTATATCCATGCTATAATAATCTCCGGGCTTTGTTTGCAACACAGCAACACATTACTGATAAGCTTCTGGAGCCCGACCTCAAACCACAGGATTTATCAGGCTTATTGACTGCATATGAAAGCCTTCAGACAGGTCCATGTGTATGTTAGCCCAGGTGTCGTTGAAAGGCCCAACACCAAAGACAAAGAGGCCAACAGATGGCCCCCATTGTCCCCTCACATGTCACTGGCCAATGTCAACATGTTTCCATGTCAGCTCGATTGCAGGCACAATCCACCCGACAGCATGTCAAAGGCCAGCTTTGGACACTCATTGTCATTAGCTCAGTTCAGACACCGCAAACACCCTTATCTGATAGGAATGTGGCAGGCTAATTATAAGTTGAGCTGGAAGGCAGTAGAGTAGTAACTAGCTGCAGTGCCTGTCTTGCTTGTCTTAATTTTGTCTAGACAGAATCTTAATGTGGAGGATAAAAGACAGAGACGATCCCTTTTCGTTGCCTGGCCTTCCGCCCCCCCAATTACCACTAACGTACTAAAATGACGAGCTTGTCGAGCTAGGAGCAGATGTATTTGTGCCTGAAGGATGAAGTCTTAGAAGGGGTGTGTGTGTCTGTGTGCTGCATCTATTATGTGTCTCGTGTGCATGTTAATGCACCCATTCTGTTTATTTGTGTCTGCGTACAAGCAAAGACGGACATTAAACACTACCGCTTCAAATTCCCTTCCCTTTCTTTGGCCTAATTGGATTTCTCCCACATTGATCTTCAAAGGCTCGACAGCCCTCCTCCCAACTCCTCAAGAGAAGGCCCACACATCAATTGCACGGCAGTTTTTGATAGTTTTTAAGAGTGTAATTAATGCTCATTAATATGCATAAATGGGAAGCAGTGGCAGGCTGTAGCAGAGACAATGTATCTCTCTCACTGAAAGGCATAATTAAAGTGTACTGCAAGCAGAGAACGTAACTGTCCTCTTTCATTGCTCTCTTTGAGATTAAGCCTGAAGTGCTATCCACACACAAAAGCAATGCCTCAGCATTGACAACTGTCAAAACTTGGTGTACTTGAGCATGCAAATACAAACTAATATTGTTCTGCGATAGTCTTGATAATGGAGAAAAGGGCTGGATATTTCATTATGGTATTCATTAAGTTTCTACAACAACCCAGTTGAACAAGGTATCAGGTATACCTTTTACTAATTTGTTTAAATTGTAATATCATAAGATGGTGTTAGATGGAAATAAGATGGAAATGAAAATTTACTTGGTTTTGGTGCACCATTTAGATTGGGGATCCTAGACAAAATCATCATTTTTTTTCTAAATACATAAGAACGCAATACACTAGTCTAAGAAACAAAAGCGGCACATCTTAAACAGGGTTTTTGGTTAATTCATATTTTTTTTGTGACAATTTCAAGATTACAAGAGTGACAAGTGACAAACTAAAGTTTACTCGAGGTGCCGTATGAGGTCATTTTTAAGTGCATCAGTTTTATGTCAGTTGAATCTCACCAATAAATCAGATGGCCGGACCAATATACGGCCAATATTACCTTTGAAGATATATCGGTATTGGCATATGTTGGGCAATAAGCAGCAAGAAACTGTACTACAGAAATTCCAAAGATAGACCATATGTTTGAGGTCTTTCAGTAACAGTGTCTCCATCATATAACTTGTCCACCAGAGAGCTCTCAGTAGTAACCTTTCAGTCGATTTACCCAGCACAGCATATGTATTATGGGATATCATTCCCTCTTGTGGCCTGGTTGAAGATACCTCGTTCT